AGGGACCGATGCGAGTGTGGCCGAATTCGGCCGAAAATAGCCAACCCGAGGCGAATCGCCGCCGCCGTCGCGGGAGCACGGCGGAGCCGCCGTGCCAGAGTTGCGATTTGGGCCGAAAGGGGCCCTGGGCCTAATTTGGGATTTTTTTTAGAACACGTGCAGGTACCAGCAGTGCGTTTCAGTTCCCCGAGAAAAATTCAGGAAAAATTAGGGACAGCCTGTAGGCGCACTGTGAAGCCGTGTTCGGACCCCGAAACGAGTAAAGACCCCTCACCCTATTTCCTATCACTGTTTTAAAGTTCAATAAATGATAAAACGGTATTTCATGAATCAACGAATGTGTGAAATTGCTTAAGGTCGCTAATGGAGCCCGAGTCTAGTGTATTTGTCGGTTAACTGTTATTTGGCCTGTTTTACAGTCTTCAATGCAGCATGAGGTTCGATGTTTTCATTTTATGGTTTCGTGTGCATAGTGTACTGTTTTTATTGCTTATGGATTGAATGACTGGGGTGTTGATACTGTATGTTGTCTGTTTGGCATAAATTATCGTTTAGCTTGTTTGTATGTGATTGAAAATGCTGACTGAGGGAAAAGGCGAATGAAAGATTACGTGAATGGAAATTGTATAATGTGTTCAGCCTGACTAGATATCCTGGGAGATGGTGGACGGACCGGGTCCGTAGGGAACCCTACCGGGATTGTGGTCTTCCATACCGGACGGGGTATGGGGACGGCCTGTTTCACCCTCATACCGGACGGGGTAATGAGGTCTATGGTTTGGCGCCCATACCGGACGGGGTATAGGGACGGTCCTAGAATATGATCTCAAGTGTTAAGGATTAACGGGTAGCGGGACCCCTATGGATCCCCATGGATACTAGTGGGCTGGTGAATTAGGAAAATATGTTGTGAAACTATTGAATTACGAAGAGTGTGATAGGTATTATGTTATACAGTTCATATATATGTTTTCATGATGATGATGACGTTATTGCTTTCGTATATTGTTTTATGAATTTCACCGAGGTGAGTAAATGGTAAAGGTTTTATTTTCGATAAAAGGATTTGTTGTAAATTATGCTCCATTGGTCTTTTTGTGTTTTCTACCCACCTTTACCTCCGTGACGGTGAGATATCGTGATATCTTTACTGGGCTAGTGTAGCTCATTCCTTATTTAATCATTTCATATCAAGAGGACATCGTTCCAGAGCCGCTTCCGCAGGAGGACGACGAAGGGGACGCTTAAGGACTCCATAGTCACATTCGTAGTTTTTACTTTCAAGTTTCTCCTTTAGGTAGTTTAATCTTTTATATTTTGTGAGCACGTTTTGGTTTTAGTGTAAGGGATGTTATTCAAATTTTGACTTCGCTTCCGCATTTGATATTTTTAATATACACTCCCTTTTAAATTTCTGGGGCCGTTACAGTTGGTATCAGAGCCGCGTTTCCTCGGACCCATCCCTTACACTAATGTGCCTTAGAGAAATACTCACCGATATATTGTTACTCAATCATTCCTTGTGAATGCAGGAACACAGAAATGAGGAGAGGAAGGCCCCCACTAAACCGAGCGGCCCCAGATAATTCAATTCGGGAAGATTTAGATAGACTATTCGAGATGGTGGAGGCTCTCGCAGCTGCCGAACGAAGGCAAGAGGAGAGAAGGGAGTTACCGGGACCTCCTCCGCTAGCGCAGGTTGAGCCCCTGCTACAGTAGGCTGATCCCGAGCCACCCCGGCAGGAGCCTGTTCCTCCACGATACCACCCGGCACCACAGCCGCGGTACGATCCGGTACCACAGCCGCAGTACCAACAGGTGCCGCCACAGCACATTCCAGTGCCCCCACTACATCAGCATGCGCCACCACAGGGTCCCCCAGTTCACCCTCAGCCGGCCCCAGTCCCTCTACCTCGGGACCCCGCTCCCTCCTTTATCGACGCCGGCTTCATAGAGAGAAACAGGAGACTGAACCCTTCTATTTTTTCAGCGGGATCCTCGTTCGAAGAGGCCCAATACTGGCTGGCAGATACTGAGAGAGCTTTTGAGACCTTGGGAGTAATTCCTGAGCAGAGGGCTGCCATTGCCTCCTACATACTGGTAGGGGAAGCGGTACGCTGGTGGGAGCTCAAGCGGGCCACCCTGCCTGTACCAGTTACTTGGGAGCAGTTCCTAGCGGCCTTCCATGCGGAGTATCTCCCTAAACACATCCAACATTTAAAGGAAATGGAATTTGCTCAATTGGTCCAGGGTAATATGACAGTGTCAGAGTATGCCCACAAGTTCCTGGAGCTGGGCCGACATGCCCC